AAAATATATTTTATTTACTAATATAAATAAGTACATTTATAATATTAAAAAGATTATATTAGAATATTAAACTCAAACCCGCTATGACTGTTTTTTTTGTTTTTTGTTTTATATCAATCCAAATTTGATCTAACCCAAATATATGCTTTAATAGAAAAATGTATATCAGATAATATTTATTTCTTATTAAATTAAATGGATTTGGATATAAAATCTCATAACTAGTTTCATATATATAGATAAAAGATATTTAATGCACTCTATAAGAATAAAATTATGAATATATCATATTATATGACTGGGACAACGACTTAATTTTGATGTTTAGAATGTTGACCAACAAATACTTTTATGATTAAAATGTTATTTTTTAAATAAAAATTGCGATCACCCTTAAGAATATCAAATTTAACAAATAATAAATTATTTAAAAAATTAAATTAATTGGAGTTGCTTCATTTAGGAATTAAAATAAATTTGGAGTGCACTAATTTTGTAAAAGTCCAAACCTCTATCTGGGACTTCGAGCGTATAATTCAGTAATAATAAAATAAAAATATTGAAGTTTATCATTTAGCAGAAATAATTAAAATTTGAAGGTTACATTCATTGCGGGTTTACTTAAAATGCACAATAGGGATTATGAGAATGCATTTCAAACTTAAACGGAAAAGACAAAATAAAACAAATATGGTTAACCTCTACTCAAAATTGACGAAACAGAAAAGGTAATCTCTTAACTAGTTTTTTGCTGTTCAGGATCCGAGTCTTGATCATCCTAATTTGAAATGTTTAATAAGAAAATAGTGAGTTACACTAGCTCAGTAAGAATATCAATACCTTACCAATGATACGAAAAATCAAAGGATTGTAGAAAATACAAAACAACCAATGGAGTTAATTCTTAATAAGACTCGAATCCTAGTGCATTCATTATTCATTTAACTGAAAACGTTAGTATTTTCTCGATTAACCTGAACTTTTTGAATGTCATTCATTAAAATGAAAATTAGAATAATTGTAAAGTCGGAACTTAAATAGAAATAAAGTCATAAATTAAACGCAGAAGCGAATAATAGAGTTATGGTTTACATTCTTTACACAATAGTTTAGAATACCCAATAAGGCTATAGAAATATCCATTTTAAAAGATAAATGATAATTAAAGCAAAATGAATAAATAAATATCATAAAACAACCTTCACTAGTACTTGAAGGGAGTTCGGGTGGTGAACTACTCACAACCCTCTTGTTGATCGGGATCTGGATATTGGTTTTCTTGATTTGAAATAGTTAATGAAAGGGTGAGCTACACTAGCCCCATAAGAATATTACACTAATCACAAATACAAAAAATTAAAGATTGGTAAAAATTAGAAAAACAACTAATGAAGCTCTTAATTTGATGTAAATCAATTTAATATAAAGAAATTAATTTATTATGTACTTACGTAACGAGCTTTTCCAAAAATAACCTATGAGACCCATATTCATACACTTTTTATTTTCACCTATAAGATAATAAGAGACGATTATTTTCTATTTTTACCCGCTTACCGGTACCTCTGGGGGTCCATAGGGATATCCTCCCAATATCCAATTAAATAATTAACTGGTCATTCCTATATCCCGTCTGGTAATGGGCGCCAAACATTCCACCACCTTATTACCCCGTCTGGTATGAGGGTGAACCATATCTTCCAAACATTACTAGTAAGAGATTTTTTAGCCCTGTCCGATTGAGATAACGTTCACGGTAGGGTTCCTTATGTACCGGGCCCGTCCGCCATTTCTTATATACCAGTAAATCTTTTACATACAGATTTCCATCAACATAACAATCAACCACGAAATATAAATAGCTCATTTTATATTCATAGATCAATTAAATTACATTCATGTTAATGGTATATAGCCGAATAAACCAGATAAATCGATAAGCCTATAGAAAATATAAATTTAGAACATGCATTATATAATAACAAGCCAATAGAGCAGTATAAGAAAATAAACAGAAAATTAGAACAATCATGAATTAACCAATTTTGGTTCTACAAGTGACTTGTAATTATTTTTAGGGTTCTCTAATTTTTCATAAAAATACACAATTATCGATTATTAAGTCTCAATTTGCTGTAACAGAGAATAGAGTGACGGATCCTTACCCGGATTCGTGTTTCAGGATATTGTGTTGTTTATTACACCTCTTAATGGGTACCGAGTTTTTTGAATTTTCTTACAAAATCCAAAACACTTGTCACATACTTAAAAGTACACTAAAAATCTAAAATCGGTGTCCAAAACTCATTTCGACCAATTTTAGGGTTCCGGCACGGCATCGCCGCCGTGCTCTGGCGCCGACTCCGCCACCCACAGTAGTGGTTCACCTCGACCTAGCCGGTTTTGGCTAGTTTTTGGACAATTTTAGCTGTATCCCTGCAGAAAAAAACGTTAAGGGCCCAGGTTGGCTCGAAAATCACAAAAGACTGAACCTACCGGCGGAGAAACCTCCGGGTACAGCGGCTCTACCGGTTCTCCTTCGCAATTGAGGTTCTTTCTTTAGCTAACTTGCACAGAAAAAAACAGTGAACACAATGATAAAAAAATCATGTGAAACGAAAATCCGGAAGGGGTTCATCGGAGGGATTTTGACCGCAGCAGCTTCGCCAGACTTTACCTGCAATTTCCAGCTCACTTGTCATTCTTTTTGCTCTGATTTGGCCACTGGAGTTCTCGAAATTGAATTTTGAGTGGGTAGGGAGAATTTTTACCTTTTTTGGCGATAAGTGGTGGCTCTACTATGGCGGGGGTCGCCCTCCTTCTCCGGCATCTGGTTTTTCTTCTTCGGCGGGGGCTGGCGGCTAGAGTTTGGGTTCCTATGTGATGCGAGGTATTTATATCTATCCCGTTTTGATTTGGACCGTCCATTGCGATTGATATCGTCCGTCTGATCGCGCTTAAGGTGAAAATGAATTTAAAACGTTCATTGTGATTTGATATCGATTGTTCGATTGCACTTAAGGGGGGAACAAATTTGGGCCATCCACGTGTGCGGGATCGATCATGGGTCGTCTGATTGCAGGGCACACGGATCGCCCGCGTGACATCCCGTGTGGCACTAATGTCAGCGTGCCTCACCACGCAGCGTGCTCCAGTTCGTGGGGGCTGCTGACTAGGCAGTCTTATGTGGTACAATTTTTTATATTTGCACTATGATCTCTTATTTCTAATTTTTCTTTCAAAAATACTCCCTGAACACAAATTTTCTCCCATTTTTCCTAAAATTAGTTTTGATTACATCCCTAACCTATTTTTTTCAATAAATTCAATAAAAATCAAATTAAATTAATTTATAAATGAATTTTTATTTATTTTTAAATGTAAAAATTAATTCCAAACTAAATTTTGGGTCTGGGTATTACAGCTCTCCACCTCTTAAGAAGAAATTTGGTCCCTTAAATTTGTCGCCTTCTCACTTAGTTAAACAAATTTTGGATACTAGACTCTGAAGTCTAATTCTAGTTCCCATGTGGTCTCTTTCTGTATGTGATTCTGTCATAGGACATTGACGAAGAGAATTTCTCTATTGCAGAGAACTGTGCTCTTTCGGTCTACAATACCCACTGGTACCTCATCATAAGATAGATCCTTATAGAGTAAAAGGGGCTTGTAGGCCAAGATTTGTGAGGAGTCCGAGTTGTACTTGTATAGTATGGACACATGAAACACATTATGTACCCTAGATAGCTCTGAAGGTAGTGCCAGTCTGTAGGTTGCGGCACCAATTCTGTCTAAGATCTCAAATAGTCTAATGAACCGAGGATTTACTTTCTCCCTCTTGTCAAAGCTATTGATTCCCTTGAAATTAGTGATATTGAGGAACACTTGATCACCTTTTTCAAATTCTAAATCCCTCCTCCAGGTGTCTGCATAACTCTTATACCTGCTTTGAACTGTCTAAATGTTCTTTCTGATCTTAATTATCTTAATTGTAGTCTCCTCCACAAGATTTGGGTTGAACAATTTTCTATCACCCACCTCTTCTCAACAAATCGATGATTTGAATGACGGTCATACAATGCCTCGTACGAAGCCATGTTGATGCTTGCTTAGAAGCTGTTATTGTAGGTGAACTATATTAAAGGTAAGTGATCATCCCAATGGCCCCCGAAGTTAAGAAAACAAGCTCATAGCATATCTTTTAGTGTGCAAATCGTCCTCTCTGATTGTCCATCGGTTTAAGGGTGGAATGCGGTACTAAGAGATAGTTTCGTTCCCATGACTTGCTGAAAACTAGACAAAAACTGAGAAGTAAACTTGAGGTCCATGTCGGATACTACTATCACTGACACTCTATGCAACCTGACTATCTCTTTAATATACATTCGTACTAGCTTGTCTAAGGAGTCGGTCATCTTGATTGTTAAGAAGTGAGAAGACTTGATGAGTCAGTCGATAATTATCCAAATAGCATCATGTCCTGAGTGTGCTCTAGACAACCCTATCATGAAATTCATTATGATGTGTTCTCACTTCCACTCTGGGATCGATAATAGCTGAAGTAACCTATCTGAGCATTGATGTTCTGTCTTAACCTATTAACATATTAGACACTTGGAAATAAAGTCGGCTACCTCTCTTTTCATCCCGTTCTACTAAAATCAAGGTAGCATACTTTGATACATTTTAGTGATTTAGAGATGAATGATAAACTTTGAGCGATGAGCCTTTATCATTATGTCCCTTTTCAGTTTGTTGTCACCTGGAACACACACCCTGTCCTGAAATTTGAGCAACCCATCGGTAGAGACTCGGTATTTTGAATTTACTATTTGTTCTGCATCCTTCCTGAGAGCTGCTAGGGTGGAATCAACGGATTGAACTTCTTTTATTATCTGAATCAACTCAGGTTGAACAGTCAGATAGGCCAATTATGTAACTCTTTTTAAGGCC